AGGTACTCGGCTGCTGACCCGCAGGTCGCGTGATCAAATCCCGGCTGTGGCGGCTGCATTTCCGATGGAGGCGGAAATGTTGTAGGCCCGTGTACTCAGATTTGGGTGCACGTTAAAGAACCCCAGGTGGTCGAAATTTCCGGAGCCCTCCACTACGGCGTCTCTCATAATCAAATAGTGGTTTTGGAACATTCAACCCCACAAATCAATCATCGAATATGTAAAAACAGCAGTGTACCTTAAAGAACTCCCGATGGTAGAAAAAATGTCTCGGGTGCCCCACTATATAGTGACATATATCTTTTTTTAAAATCAAATAGTTTAATGTAAGACTGCAAAGATATCAGTGCAATGCTGAATGACACTTCAAAATGCAAGTAAGAGTATTTGTTATTGTGCCAGAGACTTGAAATGCGCTTTTCTAAGTATGCACGAGCCATACTTGCACATGTGAACACGTAGTACTTAGCTTACGCCACATATCATCCACGTAACAAATCGTTAAGCTAGTTTCTTCCAACCAATGATTTCACCTTGCGGCGAGTAGCAGGCAAGTTTTGAGGTACTGTTTTATTCACAAAATTAAAAAAAATGTAATGACCTTTTCTGAAACATACCAGCAACTTCTGATTCACATTGAGTAATATGAAGTACAATCTCTAGTTGTTATTCATGTAGAAAAAAATAACACTCTTTGAAGTGAGAAACGCCTGAAGCTACGTGAAGCTGCAATAAGGCACAATCATGCAGTGAAAATAACACAGAAATAATAAATATTTTGATGCATCTGCTCAAACATAGAGAATGTCTTACCCAAGTGATAATGATATACATCTGTCATGAAAGAACTTGGAGCAGGAACCACACTGAAGTTCGACGATGTCCATGTTGCGTCCTTTTCCACTGAAAGGTAAAAAACAACTTACCAACGATGGTTAATCACAGCTTTCTTGCACATTTATGCACGCCCGTTGCTAATAATAAGTAAATTCGCAACACTGATGCAGTATTGCGAGACCGCGCACAAAGAATGCTCAAATTCTCGCGTTAAAACGATACCGTTGTCACAAGGGTGCATCACTAGCAGCGACCGAGCCAAATTGAACTTTTTCGGTCGCAAATGGCTCGTTTACACAAGCTATGGAAAGAAGCCGATTACGGTTGAGAAATTCGATGTCAGTCGGGATTTTTTTAGCAATCGAAAATAGCCGCGTGGTAGCAGCAACTAGCTAGTTGAAGTGGATGAGATATCAAAGCCTACACGACAGCCCTTAATTTTTGTAGCGCGTCGCCCTGTCCCTTTCAGCCCTCTGTGTGTGTGTGTGTGTTTTTTTTTTTTGCACGTCCAGACAGTTACACTCAAACGTAACTGTAAGCACCACAATCGTTACATCCAGACGTAACTATAGCCAGCGCTATTGTTACGTCCAGCCGTAACTATAGCCAACGGTAGCGCCACGTCTAGACGTAACTATAGCCGCTGCTTTTGTTATGTTCACGGTCTCACGGTGACATTTGCATCTGGTACGGTAACGTTTGGCACTGCCGCTCGCCGAATTAAGGGGTCATAAGCTCAGATTCACCTATTTACCGGAATCACTTGTGTGTTGAAAGCTGCGTCGTTTACTGTGCCGAACTTTTTCGCGTATCAGCAGCTCTGTTGAAACAGACCAGCTGACGAACTTATGGAAGACGTTGCCGGTACCACTCTACCGTATCAGGTGCTGCCTTTTCGTTAGCTTCCTTGAAGCGGCCAATAAGCGGAGCAATCATGATGAAACCCTGCCTACACTGCGGTTAGTGGTAAACAGCGGCTCTCCAACTGGATGCAAGTGCGGTTTGCGTGCCCGTGCTGATGTATAAAACCTTCTCTAGGGTTACACCCATACGGTAACAGTAGTTAGAGCTGTCAGGCGTCGCAATATGTAAATATCTCGCCGTCCGAAAACCTCATCCGCCTAGTTTTAATGGCGCAGCCCGTGCAATATAGTATCTATAAATGTGTTCTGTGGAACTATTTATAAACAATAGTTAATAGTGTGAGAACAAAACGACGACACAGAGACAAGAGACGTCGTTTTGTTCTCGCGTTATAACTATCGTCATGCCATACCAACTAGCCCAAGCTTCTTCACTTTTATATATAAAAGTTGGCCCGCACAGCCTACTTGTAGCGAATTGCCCCTTGTAGCCATTCCTTCCTCCATGCTTGTAGCAGCCTGTAGCCGTGTTATTATACTACAGGTGACAGCAGCGATTTGGAAGAATTTATCATGATTTTAGATACATTATCATAAATAATTCTTGGTTGATCACGTAGTTTACATTATTTAAGAACTTCTCATTTATTTTGCACTAATATTCAGCATTGATAGCCTGTTTTAGGCCTGCATTGACCACAGCACGATCACGTCGCATCAGACAGTGGATGGACGACATGTAGACATGAAATATAGATTAATATAGATTACGGTTATTGTTGAGTGACCAAAAGACATCCATCTGACTCGTTATATATATATAGATTTTTAGGGGTGTAATGGTAAAAACATCAAAAAAATCACCTCAGAACACAAAACGAATTGCCACTAAGGCCATAGAGTTTTCTGTGGGAAACTCTAAGACTCAGAGTTAATACACAAACCCTACAGGAAAAACTCCCTGCTGGGATAATCTCGCGGTGCACTTTCGTCGCTAACACTCACTATTTTGCTACATCAGAACTGTACGGCGCGGTAGAAACGCGGTTTTGCCCGTCCGGTGCGGCCACGAAGACTATTTTCTTTAAGAAAAAAAATACATATAAGCGACGCCCTTAAAACATCAATACTGCACTGTTTAAAAATATTAGTGCAAAAAAGTAATAAATAAAATCAATTTCTAATAAAGCTTGAATCAATGACTTCACTGTCCTGCACGCGTTCTGTAGGCCAACTACGCCACTGCTGCCAATCGGCATGGTGGGTTTAACAAGCCAGTTTTGTATTGTCATGCTGGACGTAACTCTAACATTTCTTATTTTTACATCTGGATGTAACATTAAAGGCTTCTACTGTTACGTCTAGGCGTAGCTTTTGCGAAAGGTGAAAGTTACGTCCAGCCGACGATTAGCTGCTAAGGTTACGTCCGTCGTGTGGTTCACAATATGCACATGAGTTTGATAATCACTTGGCAGTCTCAGACGTTAGCTTGTGTGTCACTGGGATAATCTCATTTTGCGGTGCGCTTGCTACAGCAGAACTGTATGGCGCTGTAGCAACGCGGTTTTGCGCGTCCGCCGCGGCCTTGAAGGCTATTTTCTTTAAGAAAAAAATATATATATTTATATAAGCGGCGCCCTTGGAACATTTATGCTGCACTGTTTAGAAAAATACTAGCGCAAAAAATTAATAAATAAAATTAAAATATGTGTTTGGGCTTAATCCAACGACCTCACTGTCCTGCACGAGCTGCGTTAGCCGACTACGCCACTGCTAGCAATCGGTTTTGGTGAGTTTAGCCAGCCGGTTTTGTATTGTTGTCACGCTGGACGTAACTCTAACTTGTCTTATTTTTACGTCTGGACGTAACTTTAACGGCTTCTATTGTTACGCCTAGACGTAACACTAGACATTCCGTTCGCACAACTATCCCTGTTAGTTTTTTAATACTGTAACCAGCTACAAATTAGGCAAGTACGACAACGCCGTTCAACTAGCTGGTTTCAATAACACACTTTCATCAGAGCGAACACCGAAGTCATGCACTGAGTCGGTCCCGTAAACTTGACCATTGCACTTCACATTACCAATAGCATTGTTGATCCGAGTTCTTTGAAGTGTCGGGTGTCCGCTTGGAACCATCAGCGCCTTCCTGGACGTACGGTGCTGCCTGCGCAGACGGTGGCTGATTGCTGTTCGTGGTATCGGTCGAGGCGGGATCTCCAAGATTCGACTCTTTTTCCACAGGAATGTTCTTGGTGCAGTTGTCGCTCACCTTCGCCACCTTGTCGGCATCCGACTCATTGCTGCTCGCTTCATCGACTATTTCGCCGCCTTTCATTGTGCATTGAGAATTGTCATCCGTGTCCGCACCTTCGGACCTCTTGCACGCTGACAACCCCTCTGTTTCCGCACTAAGGTTAGTCAACAGAGTCTGCTCAGCCGACTCGGTGCCCATTCTAGACAGACCTACGAAGTTGAAGGTTGCTCGCTCAGGTGGCGCTTTGAAGTATATCTTACAACGTGTAGGATAGTACCCACTGCCTAGGCTCGGAACTATTAAAGCGCGCGGTCAATCACAGCACACCAGCACACCGCCGCCGGGGTGACCGACGCCACCGACAGTACAGTGGCTAGAATTTTTAACCTATTCTAGCCACTGCAGCGATCCACGGACGCCATTTTTGACAAAGTTAGTAGCGCCCCCTCAGCTAACGAAGCATCATACGCAATGGAGCTTTAAATTCGGCAATTATGGCATGAACACTGAATAATAACTACGAGCTTACACCTCTGGTGCCTCTATACGACGTGTTTTCGTCTACTTAAACAGCTTTTTACGCATGTCTTATATTTGAGTTTGGTTTTTACTTGGTTTTTACAAGTAGTCGCGAGAGGCTGTATGTACGTATTTATGATCGTTTCTGCAACATTCTGAAAATTTATGATTTCTAAGAACAAAATTTAGTACCACGAACAAGCTAAGCATCAAACAATATGTTTAATCTACGAGACAAGTTATAAAGCTACGTTCTCATATTCAGTTTCGGTTTTACTTGAACGTACTATAAGCTACGAGAGGGCGCCAGGGGCGTCAAATCCACCGCAATGCTGGCCATGCTATCGCCTGCGTTCTAATCGACTATGGAAGACTGCGCACAAAACAATATAGGTTTCTACGTTACGTGTCGTTCACCTCATTCACCTAAGTCCCATTTCATCGTTGCTCAAAACGATCCAGCGCTCTCTTTTTTCAAGCGTTGGAATGTGAACAGTACGTGCTGGTGCATTATTATCAGCATGGTCATCTTCGTAACAGGTAAAACCCAGTCGTTCCATCACCGGTGTTAACAGCGTCCGTCATGTCTGTTTAAAAGGGGAGCCTAGCCTAAGTCCTCGCACAAATTCACCTCTGTGTCGCTGGTCCCATTTCGCGGAGCTATGCTATAATCGCAATCTGTGGCTTCTCTGCATGACCGCCCGTATGCTTGCTGTGGTGCCTGCTTTACAGGAAGTCAGAAGATTCGAGGCTTTTACGGGCCCGTAACAAAAAGTGTTTATATAGTGAACAATCGTGAGATTAAACATAATGCGCTTGATTGTTGTGGTGCACTGTGTTAAATTAGCGACTCACATTTCTTCTTTCTCGTCCTCTTCTTTCTATTATTAATAATTATTATTATTCCCCCGCCGTGGTGGTCTAGATTACCCGAAGGTGGCGGTATCGAGTTCAGGCAGCGGTGGCCGTATTTCGGTGGAGGCAAGCTACTAATTAATGGTTGGTGTGCGTCTATTTAGGTCTATTCTGAAGAACCCCAGACTGTGGAAGTTTCCGAAGCGCCCCTCTCCCCACTACGACGTCTGTCATAATCACATAGTGTTTTTTTTTTTTTAAGGGGGGGGGGGGGGGGTAACGTAAAACCCCAACAATTATTAATTTTAGAATAGGCAATGCAAAGCTTTGCAATTCACACGAGTCGTACGCTAATCTTTTGGGTTGGTCCTACGCCACCTTATGCCGCCGGTCCCCAACGATGACGACAGCGCAGCTCTGGCCGACTGAATTAGCCCTGCGCCATCTGTCGCCGACAAGAGCTCTCGCAAGTGGTGCCCCGTCCTCGGACTCCTATGACCGTGTTTCATCTTTTCTATCTCTCTTATGTCGTCTCTCTCTCTCTCTCTCTCTATATATATATATATATATATATATATATATATATATATATAATATGGTTATTTTTTCATCCACTCTTCTGTCTTCTTATTTACATTCCATTGGTTTTAATAACTTCCCCTGTACATTCCTTGGCATTACTGTCTGTTAAATCTCATTATATATATATATATATATATATATATATCTTTAATACTATTCTTTTAATCCCTCTTTACCCCCATCCCTCGTGAGCTACTGTTGAGGTGTCGCACTTTGATGCAGACAGTTACGGGGCTCTAAGAATCACTTTAGCTCCCTAAGCTACGCCCGTAAGCTTTGCCTGCGTTGTTCTAAAACTCTCCATTTTCTCACGAGCATCTTTCCAAGCCTTTTTTGGGTCAACTCAGCCCGATGAGACTACAACGAACTGTGACGTGCGCGGTCTCCCACAGGTTCGGGTGTGCGTGGTTCTCCGGGACGCGGTGCGGCGGCCACCGGTGGTAGCCCGTCGTCGGCCGTGGTGGCCGTGACGGAAGAGCGACAGAACCTGACCTGCTACTCTTGCAACTCGCAGCTGGAAGGCGAAGGCTGCCGCTTTCCGCACAACTTGAGCCTCGCCATGAGACGCACCTGCCCGCCGTCGCACCGATTTTGCTCGGTTAGCACAGAAACACATTCGCTGTTTTAGATTAGTGTGCGCGAAGCGTTGCGATAGCGTTTGTCTCCACTGCGCATGCGCCGATTACTAATCTCTTGGATGCGCACGTCAAGTTTCGAAAATAGCGTACCGTAGCAATGCTAACGATACGAACCGCACTATAAATCTGACTAGTCCTTACATGCTTACCTATAATTTCTTGAAGTTCTCTCGAATCTAATTCTTACGGTCATTTTTTTTTTATTCTTCGTTGCTATTGTTCTTGGTTTTAAAGCCAAAGCTTCATGTGCCCGCTAAACCACTACATGCCCGGCATTCTTCAGCACCACTGTTTACTGTTCCAGTTGAGTGAACGCGAGTCACGCGAAATAAGTTGACCGTATTTACTCGATTGTAACGTGAGGGGTGACTTTTTATTGCGACCAGGAAAGAAAAAAATATTTCGTTATTCTATTGCAACCTGAGCATCTACTTTAGGTAGCAAAATCTGAAAAAAAAAATGCTTGCGTTACATTAGAGTACATACGCTATGTAAGTATATATGCCTTCTCTACCGTAAGCAGCAAAGTTTCCACTAATCTCTAGATTAATATTTGGCGCCGGTGTGAACGACGAGAGCAGCAAATATAGCTAGCTGCACGGAGTTATGTGGGGGAGCTATAATAGAGTTGTAAGCTTCAATAGAGTGGCTATTTGGGCCGGTTGGTATATTGCATTTTAAAAGAATTATACTTAGTGTGCAGAACGTTTCAGAAAGAAGTCAGATAGACAGAGCGCACTGTCATATCTGACAACTCAGAAGTCAGGTAGAACAGAATGCGCTCATTCCTATACGAGTTCTTTCTGAAAGGTTCTGCGCAATAATGAAGTGTGTATTTCTTTTGAAATGATGAATTTCGTTCTTTCCACTATTCAAAAAGAAGGAAAAAAAACTTTTACGAATTGTTTTCAGTGAAAGGTTGAGTTTGCGATTCTTAGTGGTTATGCACGTGCACATTCTCATTGTATTAATTCGTTTTCAAAAATCGAGGCCCGCGTATTCGCAAAAGTGTTTTGTACGCTGTGTAAATATTCGTAAGAGAAAATTTGTGAGAGAGTGTTCGTCAGGAGAAATCTCATTCAATCCCGATGCTAGACATATTAATAACGAAGCGGATGACCGACGGAAAAAAAATCACGGATGGAAAGCTTCCCGAACTCAGCTCCTGGTCCCCATTTCACAAAATAAAAAAAAGGTCAACTAAACACTTCCATGGTGTAAATGATTGATGATGGACGTACCATAAGCGACTGCTGTATGCTAAAGAAAAAAAAATGCAAATAAAATCTTCATGAACTCGCTTCAGTGATCGAATTCATTATTATCTTTCATGAATGATTGCAACGCGAAAGCACTCTGAGAATATGGGCCCTGTAGCCGAATTCAGAACGTCTTTGCCTTTGGTCACGCAATCTCACTTATACTGTACATTATTCTTTTTTTTTTTCAGCGAGGCTCGCGCACTTAGCTCCTTGTTTGGTGGCGACAAAAAGTTGTAAAATTTCTAACGTCAAATTTGGCTCAAATTTTGCATGAGTAAATCTAGCGTAAGCGGCTTTTGTGAATAGACTCGTTGATGTGTTTTTACGCGTACTTATCGCAATAAAAAGCGAAAAAGCAACACCGAATAAGTCGCAGCAAGAAGGTTCACGAAAAAATTGTAGACTGTACCAATGATTTTCACGTCGGGTATTTTGATCTCGGGATCCTGCGTGGTGCTCCAAGAAAAGAAAAAAAAAAAACGAGTGGTGGTTTCACGAAGAACGCGCAATTAAAGAGGGTGCCACCTTTAATCTTGTAGTGTGTGACTCCTTCAGCGAAGTTGTATGTATGGCTATAGCCGAAACCAAAATTCGTCCGTCTTGATTGCGCTAGTACTGCTAGCGCTTATGTCCCACAGAAGTTAGGCAAGCTTCACTATACTGATCCGCTAAAATGAAAGACGTCGTCCACGTGCAAAAATGTATATGCCACAGGCATTGGACATGTGCCACTGCTCGCCGCTAGTTAACTAGAAAAAAAAGAATGGATGCATGGGCGACAAACAGCAGTACAGATTTCTGGACATACCTAACCAATAATTGTGAAAGGCTTTAGTGAACCATCGGGATTAACCCAGTGATAAACTCCGGGATCGCACATTTCAGCTTCTCCGGTAAACACCCTGCCGTGGTGGTCTAGTGGCTAAAGTACTCGGCTGCTGACCCGCAGGTCGCGGGATCGAATCCCGGCGGCGGCGGCTGCATTTCCGATGTAGGCGGAAACGTTGTAGGCCCGTGTGCTCAGATTTGGGTGCACGTTAAAGAACCCCAGGTGGTCAAAATTTCCGGAGCGCTCCACTACGGCGTCTCTCATAATCATATGGTGGTTTTGGGACGTTAAACTCTACATATCAAGCTTCTCCGGTAAACAGAGTGCTTGGGTGGAGTCTTCAGGCGTCTTTTTTAATGTTTTTTTTTAATTAAGCGACCATTTGTAAGCGTGCTATGTACACATGTACAGTCGGCCAAATCATTAGCTATCGTGCATGAGGGGCAGTTTTTTTTTTTCTGCGTATATTTTCCACACGACTGAAATAAGTTTCAATTGAATAAAGAAGAGTATGCCCAAGAAAACACGTTTACGAAGCAATTTTTCGTAACTTCGTTTCATAGTAAGGTGCTAGGAGAAAACAAAAAGTGGCCGCTGCGCACAGTGGCTACAGTTTTGGCCGACTGTACCCCGACGATGCTGTCTTACCTCTCTTTCTTTTCTTTAACCCTCTCACGCCTTCCCCGAGTGCAGGGTAGCAAACCGGTGCCTTTCATTTCTTCCCACTCTCCTCCTTTGTCACGCTGTGCAAGTTCTCGGTGTTTGTGGCGCGCAGGTGACCCGCGTGGACTACAGCGTGGACCCTGGCGGCGCCATGCGGGCCTTCTCGATCGAGCGCAGCTGCAGCGAGCACTGCACCACCGAGTGCGTGGCGGTGGGCGAGCGGCTGCGGCTCTACATGTGCCGCTCGTGCTGCGCCGAGAGCCTCTGCAACACGGGCAACGAGGCGCGCGCCCTGCTCGAGGAAGGGGGCCGAGCCCTGCTGGCCTCGCGTCGGCTCACCGTGCCCCTGCTCGCGCTCCTGGTGGCCGCGTGCCTGTGAACTTGCCGGGGGACATGTTATGTAGTCACGAGAACTGCGCCTCTACATTGTTTAACTTTGAGTAGGAAGGAGTGTGTGCACAAAGGGTGGGAGGGGGGTGCAATTCTTTAGTATATCTTAACCCAGTCGGACCTTGGCCATTCCTTTTAATGTGCGGGGTTATGCCCACCGTAGGCGTGCGCAGAGTACCCTTTCAGGAGACGGTGAAGGTCTGTCGCAACGCCCCCCTCTCCATATTAAGTCAATGTATGGCAGCGAACTTTGTGCCCCCCTCATCTTAAGTGACCAAGGGGGGAGGGGGGGGGGCATGCCAGCTTCTGTAACTTGCACGCCTATGATGCCCACGCACGTTTTTTTTTTTTTTTTTGGTGATAACGGCGGCTGAGGATCCCTATGTTGCATTTAATGAACTGCTTACTCCAGCCCCGATCGCAAAGGCGGGGACCAATGGCTTGCGGCTGTGAGGGGCACGTTATCACTTCATTTTCATGCTTGTATCCAATACGGAGCTTGTTTTTTCTCGGACTCGACCAACGGGGTGGCGCTGCCGTACAACTTCGCACCCCCCTAAAGAAGAACTCTGCACACGTCTGTGGCTCTAGCGTTCTCGCGTCCTATATGCGTGATGTGCCAGTTTTCTCGTGCTTTGTTCGTCGAAGGTCATCCTTCCGGCTTGCCCGAAATCTTCGTGTTGTACATTTATTTAGGGTCCACGCATAGTTTGACGCTTGACTGGCGCACGTTTCTTCAATGAAGTGGAATAACTGTTACGCTGTGCAAACTTACTTGAACGAACACTGTAATATATAGGAGTAGTCGGAATGTCGTATAGTTAGAGCGCCTATCGAAGGTTGCCCGTTGTTGCGCCGTTGCTTGTGTTCGTTGCCAGTGGCTTTACGACATGGTAAGCGCCGCGTGCTGACGGGGTGCTTATAAAAGAACCTATAGAAGAACACATCGAAATGGAATGCTGGTAAATGCATAGTTCTGTAGAGCACATATGAGCATGCACTCTGGGCTGAAAAGGAAAACATTTTAGAGAGCAGCGAAATCGCAAAAGTTTCAGCCCATAGTCTCTCTCATTATGGTATTGAACGTTCGACAGATCTCGCGATTGATTGATTGAAATGTGGGTGTTAATGTCTCAAAACCACCATATGATTATGAGAGACACCGTAGTGGAGGACTCCGGAAATTTCGACCACCTGGGCTTCTTTAAGGTGCACCTGAATCAATGCAAACGGGACCTCATGCATTTTCACCTCCATCGAATATGCGGCCGCCGCGGCCGGGATTCGATACCGCGACTCGCGGGTCAGCAGTTTAGCCACTCACCGCGGTGATTCGGATATATCGCGAATACTGAGCTTTTATAGTCCAGAGGTAACAATATACTGTGTCATATACAAGATTGTACCCTGAGTTCTTGTAGCGAACTAAAATGAGACGCTGTGGATTCGAATTAGACAAAGAAAATACAGGTGTGGAGTCCAGTTGGCCGGCCGGGAAGAAGAGGCCTCATGTTTTCTCCCCAATCCTTGAGGGGGCGTACGCTATACAACACCCAGTATATTTACTGGTGAGGAGGCTCACCAGTAAAGCACTGTAGGCGATATGGCAACAAGGAGCATTAAGCGAAAAGACAGAGAGGCGGAGAGTATTCATTAGATGACGGCAATGGAAAAGAAGCCGGCTGTCAGTAACTATACCGAAAGGGCAAAAACGAAATAAGGAGGGAGAGGTTTCATGATGAATCAAGGGGAAGCGCTTTACTGTTCAAAGCGAGGTCGGGTTGCCTTCGAACACGTAGTCATAAGGCGAGATTCAATAAAGTGGAAGAACAATATACATGCTGTGGGGGAGCAAAGCAAACGATGGAACATGTTCCGATTGAATGTGTCAATATACACCTACCGGGTATACGTGTGGTTGCGAACATAGATCAGGCCTTAGGTTTTAGGGACAGCTGTTGAAAGCTACCGGTCCGTGATGGAAACAAGTAGGAGACGGTCAAAGTATTGGTGGCAGAAAAGTAGAGATAAAGAACAGAAATAGTGTAGAAATGAAGTAGCAGAGGGATGCATCATGAATTATTTTTATTGTTATAATAACATCTATTTCGTCGAAGTAGATGAGGCATTAGGCCAACATAAAAAGAAAGTTGTCGTTTTTTTTTTTCTTGCGAGCCTAATGGCACACATGTCTCCGCCCCGTTATAAAGGGGACGCTCATAGCACCCATCCATTCATCCACGCCTTTGCAAGTTCACATATGTATAACTCCGCAGCAAAAGACTCGTGACGGGGAGCGTGTGAACAATGTCACGCGACGGTCTGGACTTCTGGCTGTTGCGCAGGCCATTCTTTTTAAATAGCTGCCATTAAACAAGCCACTCAGTCGACATTGCTGTGGTCTCGAGGTGCATCGCAGTCTTGGAGGAGATGTATGGCCCGCAGCTTGATTCCCATCAGACATCGCGGGTCTTAAAGGAAACGCCGCACCTATGTACGACCTAAAGCTTCTTGAGAAAATGAGAAACAGGGTTCGCGGGGTTTCAGTTCGCAAAGGCCTTTTTTTTTGGAATTCGTTATTTGTCGTGATAGCATTTACCTATAGCATTACGTCCGCTATTCTCATCGGACGCCACTCGCGCTTTAAAACCATTCTGTATTCCGTATCAGCAATTTTCTTTGATTTATTATTCCTTCAATGCACTTTCATTGAGTGGACCAACGTGTGACTTTGTTGCACAATTTTTAGCTTGATCGTTGTAACTTATCACTACAGAGAACTTTAGCAGATTCTTTGGGTTGTTCCCGGGTGTTTCATTGTAGTCACAATATTCAATCCCTTAACCCTTAAAAAATAAGGAAAAGGCAACAATTAGTTGCGTGCAGTGTAGCGTAAGCTATGGGCTCTACCCCATGATTCACCTATACCAAGAAAAAAAAGTTGCAGAATTGCCGCAAAGGCTGGGCAATGAATGTGATAGAAACAAATTGGAAGGTCACGCGCAGAATCGTGAGGAGATCGAAACGTGCCCCACGTTTCTCATGCACAAATGACGCACGAAACGTACTCACAGGTAAAGATTAACGCGAACAAGCGTCCCAGTTCTTACTTCGCTGTGTCGGAAAAGCGCGCCCTTTTCGCAAACAGAGGCTGTGCCACGATTGCAGTGACCTTTGTGCGCCCGGTGACTACAACAGAATTGTTCCTACGAAACCCAAAGGCTAGCCAAGACGTACGATTCTCCCCACTGCAAGATAAGGACGCTCGATCGAAGGTACAGTCTTCTTATTTTCTACGCGGGCCAAAGTATGCGTGAGAGATGAGAGCCGCCGCGCGCTCACTGCGCCATCTTGCTGATAATGCTAAAAACACGATAGCCCCCCCCCCCCCCCTCTACCGAGATGCTCGCCAAGAATGGTAAATGGTAGATACCAATAGCTTGCTGTTTGAACGTTGAGGAAGGTACCTCTCGGTGGCTCAGTGGATAACGCCTCGCATCCACAACGCAGAGGTCCCACGTTAGATTCCGCACGCGGGAGCCTTTTTTTTTTCCTGGGATTTTTTTTTTTCTTGCGTTTTCGTATACATAAATGCGTATACATATACGGTGCATGACGCCGGCGGCGAAGTCCAGCCGAGAGTGTCCATATATTTGCTATCGCAATAATAAAGCCAAACAAGGTTGATCGAGAGCTTCACGCGAGGGCGACGATGAATTATTTTCTGATGATAGACCAGCCGGTTGCAGTTGGAAGAACTCTTATCCTAGTAATCACCTTGAACAAGCCGCCTTCGTCGCGTGGTCACGGACTGCATGACACTAAACGTAGTCTTCGCCGAGCTGCACACTTTTGGTGGGATAACAACACAGAGTATACATGCGAAGTGCTCTATTGGTTCGGGGGTGCGGAACTTGATCGAAAATCGGTGTTGTGATGCTCAATCGATCGTTTGTCATGCGATTTCGTTGTACTGTATACAGTAAAGAATAAGTGTTGGGCGCACCGTTTTTCCGTTTGTATGTCCGTATATTCGCGATTGCATGTCACTCTGCAGATTTAATCTTGGTGTGAAATAGCTTACTTCTTGTGTGATATTCGTATACGTGAGTTGAAAGTTCTCATACCCCGTAGTTACACAGCTATGAATGTACAGAACGGTGTGCGAAGTACATATATCCTTGAGATTCGCATCAGACGCGAGCGGTGTCTGAACGTGAAGGATTAGTCGCTACTGGCCCAGAACCGCGCCCGTGCCATACCAGGGTGCATTTAATGTCGAATTGCGCAACTCGTGCATCCATCTGAATGCAAACAGGTGTGACGCGCGCACGCGCGAGTGGGTGTCAGGGACAGGTGTCATATATTTATAACTGCTCGTGTGTTACTTATTTGTTACTCATGTCGATACTTTGTAGACAGAGGAATCATGGAACGTTTTTCCTGTTACATGTACTTCGGTGGTCTTTACGTGCCAAACCATGATTTCATAATGGGGAACGTCGTATAGTGGGGGAGTCCGAATCAATCTTGCCCGCTTGGCCCCTTCCTTAGCGTGCACAGACGTATTTTGGGCTTATCGGGTTGCGGGTTCTGTGTCCGGGATTGGAATCTGAGTCTTCGAGTTTAGCAGTGCGACACCTTACCTGCCAAGGTATATCCCTGCAGCTGTAGCTATACTCAAGGATTAAATGAAAAAGAAAATGTTTAGACTAGGTGAGCGAAACGGCCTTCAGTTGTACTGTGTAAAACATCGTTGGCCCAAATTTGGAAAAAGACTAAAGAAGAAACAGGAAAAAGCGTACATTTGCAACTGAGTTTTATTAAACCGCAGCTATTGTCCTGAAACCCTCACGCATGCGTACAACCACACGAAAAGCCCAATGAACTTTCAACATAAGCCATCAGATAAAAAAGCTAATTCATTATCATACAACGACAGAGACGGAACACTGATACATTGTTCATCAAATTGCTTAATATACATCGCCTCTGCCATTTCACGTGCTACTTTGTCTTTGCTCCATCGCAAGATTCTCGTGCTGTTCAGTAGCGGTTCACACTAGCACTCCTTACAATGATACGGAAAAACCTGTGCCGCTTCTCATTGAGAGAGCATG